GCGGTGTGGATCAGAGGGCCACAGCATTCCATCCCTCAGAAAATGGTCGGCCTTCCTAACACTGGAAGCTTCTGTCGCCTTGACATAGGAACCACTGCAATTATTATATGATTTATTGTATCGATTCATACATTTTTATCACAAACATTGATGACACTGGACGTACAAAAACTCTACGGTTGTTCCTTTGTAAAACGGTTCTACACGTGATACCTACAATCGACAAAGTTACACACACTAGAAAATCTCCATGCAGGTCTATGTGGCATATGGACTGATGAGATCAGCACAGCATTAAAGCAATGTCCCTGATATCAGCAAATGACAATACTTCATGACCCATTGATACAATCGGACATATTTAAATGCATGCAAAAGGCACTACATAATACTGATCAGCATATGCACAGACAAAAGAGCCCGAGAAAAACCAGATCAAGTGTCGATACCACGCATGAGACTCATATACAGATAAATGTGCACGTTAGTGTACACCTGTAGTACACATACATAAATGCACACATAAATGTACACCTGTAGGCGGCAGCACCATCGTAGGCAGCGCCACCACCGTGGTCTTATGGCTTCCGAAAGGGCCTTATGGGATATTCGCATCTCAGGACTTTATTCATCAAGTCAGTGGCATAAGCAATGTGTGAAACTTGTGCTCAAACTATGCCAACTTTATTACTTGCCATTTGACGCCATTCTCGCAGCCGTACCTAGTAAGAGTCTAGATAGGACGTTATTACCAAATTGGTTGCGATTGCTAGGTTCATGCCTTTAGCCTAAGGCTGACACACGATAGAGCCGGACCTACAGTGTCTATCCTTGCTTTATGCACGTTCTTGATTGTGTTTCGATGTCACTGTGCTCGACGACCCATCTTACCATGTATACTGTGTTTTGGCGGCTGCTGAGGTACATGATCCAGTGCGCCACCCAGCCGGATCCCTGCCGGCCAGAGACAGACTTTGACTTGGCCTCGGTTGAGACACCGGCCTGCTGGGCCCGCAACGGCTGCCGCCTTGACACGGCTGCGCTTCTCGGCCTGATGTCCGCCCTGGCTCGTACCAAGCTAAAAGAGACGGCTAGGGTAGGCAATAATTCGTTTGCGTCACGTTGGTCAAAACACATATTATTTCTTTGTTTAAACGGCGAGAAATCTTTCAGCTTGAGCCTGAAAGTTCTCGTACCCTCGGCTTCTGGAAGCTTGGAACAGCCTTTTTAAGTTCAGCTGCAGCCTTAATGAGTGTTTTTGTGTGTGTTTTTTTCTCGGCGGGCCAAGAATATGAAACAGCTGGAACTTGGTTTCTAAGAACAGTTTTGTGATCCCGTGTTTCCGTCACCCTCATGCATCCTTCTTCCAGCATGCCCTCGCTACCTCTTGCCCAGCATGTGTGCAATGGCCTTAATCTTAATGTGAGCCCAATTCGAAACCCAATATATTGCTTCTTCCTATCCAGCCAGCTGAGACCCCCAGTTTAAGCCTGTGTGTACACCTTGCTGGGCCGCAGCGAAAGGCGCCCACCAGGCAGCACATGTCGCGGCAGGCTTCGAGCAAGCCAAAGTATGGTGAAGAGTAACATAATTGATGGGAAGGGGCTCGAAGCGCACACGAGGTCTCCATACGGGCAAACGGCCTTGAGGGTGCACGCATGTCGAAAGTCATCCCCCAGTGTTGCCTGCCACTGGTAAGCTTTCTGTCATGTGCTCAGCTGCCCTGGCACTCAAGATCGCTCACCGTTATTTTCTCGCCATCGTAGATAGCAAATCAAGCCTAGATCAAGCTTAACACGCTCCCGGTTGGCCGGTTGGATACTCTTCGACCGGGTGGGGTATCAGTTTGACCTCCCGTGAGATTTCATAAAGTAAGAAAACTAATGCTGCCTCAGTTACTCTGTTTGGCTGTACATATGTGTATATTCATGTGTAGGTGTTATGTATGCAGCGAACCAGTGGCATTTCTCTGTGATTGCTCGCGTTGTATTAACGTAGACGATCATAGGCACTCAGTGCTTGCAGGCTTACCGTGATGATAATTTTTGCCTGGTGCGTACATTTTTCTTTGAAAATTGCCCGTGCCATCGCTTGTGTTTCTGATGCTAACTGTATAAATATGTGCTTTTACCACCTGTGCATTCATTAGAATCATATCAGTGACATGCGACGAGTGATTTCGTACTTGCAATGCAGTTTTGGCTGTGGAAAACCTCACCAATGACATTCGGCCATTTGTTCAGGCATTGAAGTGTGTTGATTGTTATGCCTTAGGTCGTCATGGCCTATCGCTTACATAGCTGCAAAGTGTTCTCAAGTCTTGTGCCTTCAGTTACGCCGATAACTGTATCCTGTGTGTCTACATTTATCGTTGGTAGGTACCTCCTGCGGTTGGTAACGCAGTTTTACAAAGGACCGACGTCGGCCTGTGTATGCGTCATATGGAACGAAACCGTGCAATATTTGTAGCAATGCGTATATGCATCCACAATATGCCACTAAGCGAATGCCATTTTCCTTTGGATGAATACAAGGCGACTTTGAATACACTAATGGCCCACTTTTTGTAGGCAATGAGAGAGCACCGACAATGCCCATGACCCATGACGCAGCGCTTCATCATGGCTTGCTTTATGCTATTTTTTACATAAATTTCTGAAAGAATTACGTCGGGCTTCGGTGATTTTCAAAAAGCAGAAGTCGTCCTGCATGGCGATAACGTTTGCACACATGGAGACTGACAACTCGAAGTACGAGCGGCAGCAGCAGCGGGAACAGATGCAAACGGATTGCGAAAGACGCCCAAAGAAAGAGGAGACAGTGGATCGACATAGCAGGGCATAGTAACGTCAGAGGACAGCAGACACCGTCCTTGCCGGAGACAGTTCGGCTCTCCGTGGCCTCCTGCTCGAGTATACCTGACGCCGCCATTGCTAGCTGGCCGCGCGCGACCCCGGCGTGACTGGGCTGACCCGGCATGCCTGGTTAGCGCGACCTGTTGGATGGCGCCGGAGGCTGTTGCCATCGGTACAGGGTGCCGGACAACGCCCGTGCTGGTGGCTAGTCGGCAGTCTCCAACCCGTCGCACAGCTGGCCCGTGAGCCTGCAGCCGTCCTCACCGTGCCTAGCATTCACACGTTCCTGACAACGCCTCTACCGGTGGCAGGTCGTTTGGCGGCGGCCCACCGCAAGCCACACACTGCGTGCCGGCCGCCCGGGCTGTAATCGGTCCGGACGGGTTCCGCTGTGTGCGCAGGCCAGCTCCGTAAACCGCCGCTCTCTGTCGCCGTTGTGCTGTCGCTGCACCTAGGGCTGTCGACAGATCACGTACGTATAGTAAAATACATTTTGTGGGTAGTGCAGCGTTCCACTGAATATATAAGCGAAAGTTTGACGGAAAACCTCACTGCTACTTGGTTACTAAATTGTCATGTAGGTGTTTTTTATGTATTGCTTTTTTATTAACGCATTCGAAAACAAATTCGGCTTATTCGCTTTCCAGTTACGTCAGGGTCATTAGTTACGCAACATCTTCCAATGTTTCAATTATGACTTTCACGTCTATGTCTGATGTACTTTGACACCCTGATTTCCTGTTGTCAGCTTTTTGTGCAGTGTTTGTTACATAGATTGCCATCTCCAAGCTTTCAGTTCCATTTTTCGAATCATTTAACCCAGTGTCACTCGCCGCCACCACCAAACACTTATTCGAACCCAACCAATGACGGGTGAACACATTCCGTTCGAATGCCCTTTGCTCGGTTGGGAAGGTCAAGCCGGTCACCTGAGATCTCGGAAAGCAAGAAAGCTAAAGAAGCTAAATTCAAAAGGTATTTTGAGCTGTGTGCAATTCATATGTGTAAAGATTGAAGGCTCTTAGATGATGGCAGTCTAGTCAAACAGGAGCAAAAATGTCTGGTTTCACAACGATGCCTGAAGTGTTCCTCCCTCCCCTTCGCCCACCTGTTTGCACGAAACAAGACCGTCTGAAGCAAAACTGAATCTAGATGATGCTGGTGCTAAGCAAATGGTACCTAGTGCACATTTGCATTTAATGACATTTTTCGACTTTTGTAGGCTAAATGTGACCAAAAGTTTCAAGACTTTTTCATTTTTGCACTTGAAAAAAGCATCAAGGCTTATGCTAGGCGGCATGTTCCTAAAAACAAAAATTTCACCTGTGATTTCTAGGTGCGTGGTCTTTTCTGAACTTCAAGAACCGCATGGAAGGTGCATAATGCGGTTTCTGCTCTCAAGGACTTGTAAAGGGCACAAGAAACTATCCTACACGTTAAGTTGCGGCGACAAACAGGTTATTTCTTGACTTGATCAAACCTTTGTTCTTGACCTTGAGCTATTGAAATGCAGCAGTTTGATTGTTATGTTCCCTAAGAAATTAAGGAGATGTATGGCTCCGTTTAACACTGCCCTGTTACATCAGATGGAACGATTCGTTTAATATTGTCATCGCTGAGCCCATGGCCTAATTTCACCAGCCGTAGGTCAGCACCCTTACATGGTACAACAAGATGGGTGGTGTAGGATATACATGGTCGCATTAGTGATACGTTTAGGAAACTGCGACACTTACCACTTAGACAAGATGGCTGTTTGATCTTTATTTGACCAAGTATTCCCTCTGCTCATTGGCATTCCGAGGCTGAAAGGAGTATTGTGAGGTGAGACGGGGGAGGCTCATGTAAGCATTAGTTGCCTCGGTCATTCCGAAAGGATATAATGAGTGACACCCCTGGCTGCAACCTTTTCTCCCTCCTTGTCCTAACTAAAAAATTGCGACTGTCACTCATGTTACGGCGCGCACGAGCATTCGCATCCGGTTCGGCCACACGGCACTGGTTTCAAATCCCCGCTTCTCATTGGAAGGTTTGAACGGCCTCGACCGTAACGCGCCGCAGTTCTCGAACCGTTAACCGCCGCATTTGACTTCCGTTCTATTCCGGCGCTCCGACTCGTGTATGTTTTCATCCGTGCAAGGCTGAATCTGCTGAGCTTGGAATCTACTCTCGACATTTGAAACAGCGCACGTGGTTGTTGAATGCTGCTGATGGATGCTACGGAGTTTTCGAACGAAAAGAACGTGATGCATTGGCTCAGTGGAGAGCAGACTGCAGACACGTCCCTGCTTTCCCTGCCAACGGAAATTTTGGAACACATCTTGTGTTTCCTGAGCGTAGAAGATCTTGCTTCTGTGTCACAAGTGTGCAAGAGGCTTAATGATGTCCATACTTCAGAGAAAGTATGGAAGTTTGGATTCGAGTCCAGGTGAGTTCCTGTTCTTAGGATGTCAGATTGCTGGAAAGATAATTTTGCCACTGGCTGTGATCTTTCAGTCTTTTGCTACAGCTGACATCTAAAAATTATTGCAAGATGGAATGCAATCAGACCAATTCTGTAAATGTACACATATTTTAGATGTCTGTATGTACCCATGGATGCATATTTCTGACTTAAGACAGTGCCAACTACTGCAGTTATTCAGCCAGCAGTTGCAAAGAGTGTACCCTCATTATGCTCAGCTGACTGGCTCTGTGATGCAATTACTGACAAATGTATGTCAACTTTCATACTTTTTTATCCTTCCGCTGTGCACTAATGGCTAAGTTGTTTGTGGAGAGTGTTTGGACATTTTAGAAGGAATTGAGTGCTAGGCTATACACCAGTCAAACTGACCCAAAGTTTCATCCATAATATGTTTTTCTTCACATGGCCTATCAATGCCTTGAGTGTTTGATTGGGATGATGATTTCCTGAAAGCAAATGATAATATCAGGGAGAAGTATGTTTTGCACTTACTACCTGTAAAGCTCACATGCAACATGGAATTTGGGTGTAGCACATACTGTTTGTTAGACACTGTGCATATCTTGAATTTGGGTTCTGGAAATGCAGTGCAGCTGATAAGTATGTGGAAAGTCCATTTGTCAAATGACAAAGGTGGGCAGACAGCTGATCAAAGCTTTCATTACAAATCATCCTCATGAACCTCATTTGGAACATCTTTTGTTGAATTTTACCTGGCACTGCAATCCTATTCTGCTTAGATGGGAAGGGTTTCATGATAACTTTTCATTCCAAATGCAAGCATATGCTAAATTATCTCAAGAAGCAAAACCTTGCCTATATGCAACCAATCCCAGTAACAGGAATGACATTTTGAACAAAAGGTAAAGAGTGTTGGTGATGGCTTTGGTAAAAGATGCTCCACCTAAAAAATTTGTTAGTGTCTTGTCGCTGGTAGTTTTTTTTTAAAGGGTCTTGTGCTGTCTTTTCCATTCAATCATATGCAAATAGTGCAAGGTGTTGATATATGTCATTTGTTGCTCTGAAATTTTGACCGAAGGATATGAAGTGTTCTTCTAATTTATTGTAGTGCCAAACTATCCCCTGGGACATTTTATGCAAGCTAGTTTTGATAAGTTCAAAAACCAGTGCTGCAGGGGACAGAGGCTAGTGCCAGAAAAAAGGCACCTGTTTGCTAATTCAATGATGGTATTAAAACATCTTGTAAATCATACAGTGATATACTTTATGGTGATAAATACAAATAACTGAGGTTGTCTAGGTCAATGGTTCATGGACAACCAACAGTTGTTTTTGGAGCTTCATTCTGTTGATCCACATAATTTTCCACCAATCCTTTATTTCCATCTCTCAGATGGTGCTTAGCATATTAAACAAACTTAACATTGGTCTTGTAACAATAGCACACCACACAAGAACTGATGGATGACACCAGTAGTGGACAGCTGCACTACTAAAAGAAACTCAGCTATATTTGATATGATAATCAAAAGTGGTCAAAAGCAACCCATCTTTTTTCACATTACAACCAATAATTGGAATTCCTATGATTTAAACAACTGTTGATTTATGGGCATCTGCTTTATTCAGTCCTATCCAGGTAGAAACAAATGTCTCAAGAAATATAAAGATGCTGATCATCTTGCTAATAACCAGTTGCAGTGATGGTATGGTGAGGAAAATGTGGTGTGTGTGGTGGTGTGCATCACGTTTCATTGCATATGCTGACTAAAGATGTCATTGATTCAATCACGCTCGCTGTGCCCAATGTTTTGACCAAGATTATTGAGCTAGGCGTGATATTTAGGCACGTCTTCCACCCAAGAGACCTCCCAACGTGCCGATTTGCGTCAGTCGTGACCTTGTGTTCTTGTTTCGCAGGTACCCGCGCTTGTTGCAGCCCTCGTGCCGACCTGCCCTGCTGCGCGTGTTTGAGCGGTGCGGCCGCAGCTGGCGGCGTACTGCGAGGTTCCGCGCCTCGGCTGGCCACCACCTGCGCACGGCCCTAGCCAAGACGGCCGACAGATGCTACTCAGTCCACTGCCTGCCGGACCCCGCCATGGAAGAGTTCCGCAAGCTGGTGCCCGTCCATGGTACCCTTTTTAATCGGGATGCCCTTCTGGAGGTCATCTATCCCTGCCAACACTGTCCGTAAGTTGGATCACATTTTTCGGGTGGCCTGGTGGCATGCAGTTTGCTCAGCTGAATGCAATTTTTCAACCATAAATTCTTAGTCACATAGGTACTGCACGTGCTATGTCCTTCGTATCATCCTTCACGTGCCCTTTGCCGTCTGAACGCTGATGGTGTAGATCATCCACAGTCTGAAGTATTCATTTCTCTAAATTTTTTGTCTTGAACTACGGAGCTTCTCATACTTCTGACAGTTGGGCCATATTGAGAAACGGTGGCCATTTCTCAAGGAGCGTGCCAGTGTCTCTTGTCGCTCTGTCCCGCTTTCCTCTTAGTTTGGAATGGCAATCTTATCCCTGACATTTTGTGGGACAGAACCAAGACTGGATCAATTTTTCACTCCAGTGTCATTACCCCGTCTTCCTCTAGGGTTGCCTTCTGCTATCGTATCTCAACAGCTTGCCGGTATCGTACGTACCAGGCTGTTCTGTCCAGCACCTTGGTTTATTCACCACCACTACCTGCATGCACTTTTCATATGCTCTGGTATCACCTAAGTAATCTGCAGACCGAACCAAACTATTCGCTCGAGAAGTTTTACTCATTGACTTATCTATAAGCCTTTGACACCACAACTGGTCTCCGGAGTGGACAGATGCTGTGTTAGGCATATGTGTAATTCGAGCCTTCTTTGGCAGGGATGATGACCTGTCTCTGCGCTACTATGCGCGGATGCTGTTCCGCGAGATCCAGCGAGACGTCGTGCTGCTGCCCATGTTCCGGGAGTACATGCAGCGCCCAGCGCAGCATGTGAACGTGCCCGAAGCCTTTTATCTGATGAGCCTCTGGATGGTTCCGGAGCAAACCAACAACCGAGAGTCCAATCTTAAGGCGTGAGTCTTTCATCTCCTTACCAGATGCTCGATCTCCATGCGGAAATTGAAAGTTTGGCACGAACATGTTTTGCCAGCTCGACTGTGTTTCTAATGTGTATGTAGCTCTTCCTGATGGACACAAGTATGCAACTAATCTCACAGCCCTTTTCTGTGTTTATTTGTGCCGATGATCGCTGACTGCAGGCGTCTGTTACCTGTGGTTATGGCATTTTCAATGTTGTCGCTCTCTAGTCAAATGCCGCACTGCGCTGTGTTTTTACTACAGGGGCATCAACAGGACTTGACGCATGGTGTAGCAAAGAGCTAGGTCAAACTTAGTATGCCAATGTGATCGTGGTTTTCTCCAGAGGAACGGGATACAAGGCACTAGTCTCAAATCTGGATACAGTCTTAGCTTTGCAACATTCGTCTCCATCCTCCCCCTCCCCCGTGAACAAAGACGACCTTTCATGCGTACATGCGAGCGTTGACATGGCGTGGTTTTTACAGCTGCTACATCAAGGTCGCCGGCCTGGTTTTGGACGAGCTTCGTCGGAAGCTCCCGGAGCACCCGGCCGCCGCCTGGGATACGTGCAAAAAGAACCCGTTCGGACCTTCGCTGTGGACGGACGACCAGACACTGATGCTCCTGGACGTGCTGAACATCGTGCTGTATGACCAGCTTGCCCTGATGAAGGATGAAGAGCCGGCGTACGCACCGGCTGCCGAGCTGAACACACTGGTGAGTGTACTGCATTAACTATTCATCAATGTTTCCTGGACGTTGGAGTAGGTGAAATCACACACAGGACAAGCGCAGACTTCTCTTTCTGACCTGTTTTGCCTGATGGTGTTTTCCGTGCGGGGCTGTGAACTGCGAAGCATACTGTGGATCATGCGTTTCCGCCGGTTCGTCGTAAGGTTTATTATGCGGCTCCTGTCAGATGGCTTAACACCGAACACCCTGTTGCGATGTCTGCACAGTCTAGAATCCAGAGTCTCCGTGAAAATTGCTGACTTTGACGACTGACCATGGTAGTCATGATAAAATGCTCGTCAATGAGGTCGTTACTAATAGGCGATGTTTGATTTCAGCAAGCGTGATCTCCGTTTTGTAGTATATTACTCGCTCTGTGACTGAATGGTGTGATGGGCCGTTTGCTCTTGTTGTGTGCAGGTTACTACTGTTGCCTCCAGAACAATGCATTAAATGGCTTGCTATTTCCTTTTTCAGGTGCTCTACCTTCGTCGCCACCTCCACTGTGCCGGCTCCGGGACGCAGACTGTAATGGGGACGGTCTACTCCTCGGTAGCTGGCATGCTGGGTGTCAACCTCCACAATGTGCAGTTCCCGCATAGCTCGATGATCTGCTGGCACCGAACGTAAGCATTGTGGTAAGGGTCATGGGGAATGGGTCTTCTGGCACCATTGACGCTAAATAGACAGACTGGCTGCTCAAGTCACGTCTTTTGGGGTGTTCATGCTTTCACGGCGTGCATCTATTCACCAGTTTTTGTAATCACTTGATGCCAAAGACTTTGATGCATTTTTCATGATCAGGCCTGCCTTTTGATGTGTTTGTTTCTTTCAACAAAGCCATTTATTCTTGAAATCAGCTCTGGTAAGTGCATCACTTCTCTGTTCGTTAAAAGTTTCAAATTCCCCGTTATATTTGGTCCTATAACATTTTCTTTAGAGCAATTGGTAACTACGGTACGGAGGAAGGGGACCAAAATAGTGACGTGGTGTTACGTATGATTTGTGGGTAATGACATTCATTATTTCCTTAAAAATAGACATTCATTTCCTCAATATAGCATCCACATTGTATCAAGCCAATCGTATTGATGCATGATGTGTTGTCATCTTGTGCAAATGCAACAATTTTGCACCGACTGTGTTTGTCTTGTTTAGTCTTGTCTTGTTTACCTTTTTATGAATGTGCTTTTGTGCCTGTTTCTTTGTGACTGAAGTTGTCTGTTGCACATTGATGTATTGCAATTGACGTAACGCGTGCATAAATGCATGCAGTTCATTGTGCACGATGTCTTGACGTGCTGCTCCTCACGCAGGGACAGTGAAGAGTACCTGTTCATCGACGTTTTCCGTCGCGGCATGCAGCTATCTAGGGAGCAGGTGTTGGAGGAGTTGAATGCTGTACATCCGGACATGGACCTTCAGATGCTGGAACCCTTTCCCAGAGCAGGGGTACGTGATGCATCTGATGTTGCAAATTCTGGGAGCACAGGCCCTGTTATATAGGGTACGTGGATTTTTTGTTGAAAAATCTGCCGTTTTGTTTGACGAGTAGTTATATGGCTGCCTTTGGCAAAGGAACTTTGCAAAGAAAGCACCAGAGTGTGAGGTTCAGGGTGTTTTGTTCTTATATGAATCTGTGAGTACCAGCAGGCCCGCTACAACTAGTGATAAGTCCTGCTGTGTGTACACTCTTCAGTGTGCTGTAGTGCCAATACGATGTCCCTCTTTGTCTCACGTGATGCATTGTTTTCGGCAGCTGCTGGGCCGCCTGATCAATGGCGCCACCCATCCGGAAGCCCGCCGGCCAGGGACTGGCTTCGACCTGGTCTCGTTTGAGACACTGGCCTGCTGGGCTCGCAGCGACTGCCGCCTGGACATGGCTGCGCTCGACGACCTGATGTCCGCTGTGGCTCGCTCCAGACCGATGTACGCACGCCGCCTGCTGCAGGTCAGTGGTGTTTAATGACGCTGGACCGTAAAATTCAGCACGTACAATCTAAGAAGCATACATGAATCGCTTAACGCAGCATGTGTGCGATGTGTAATCGTCTAGAAAGCCTCGGCTTCGACCAATCGTCTTCGTCGATTTCATTCATCAGGCGGTGCTGAGGTGGGCAGCGATGGCACAGCGGTGTCGCATTTTCGTGGCATTTGGCAGTTGTTTTCAACCGTTGTCGGAAGTACACGTATGGCTCACTTTTATGTGCCTAATAATTGTGTAAGATGTAGATGTGATCGGACGTCTGCAAGGTGACGTTCTAGTCTCATCTTTGGTTCACGGATGTGTCGAATTCGTACATGGCTCGCAATCAAGGGCTGTGCGTTGCGTCCAAAATTGTGTCAGAAAAAAACACGTGGCGATACAATGAGGGAATCTGATGTGACCTTATTTTCACTGCCTTCTATCTGCAGCAATTCGTCGAGGCTAACGGCGTGTTACTGGCGGAGAACGAAAGGCGTGGCTTGGAAGTACTCATGAAGCACTTCAAGAGGATGTATAAACGGCTGACGCGCTCCCTGGATGAACAAGAGGCCATAGTCCAGGAACTGGTAATAATAATAAACTGGATTTGATGAAATTGCCAATGCGTGAAGTTACTCCTGTAGCTTCTCACCAACGTGATGCGGAAGCATGCGTTTGCGTACTCGTGTGAGTGGTGCATTTGGGTTCCGTGGTGTTTGTGTCATGTTATGTTGTGCATGCATGTCGGTCAGTTAAGTGTACGTCTTTTTGCAAGCGCACCTTAAAATGCTGAATGCTAAATGCCGCTGGCTAAATGCCGCTGTGGAACATGTTTAATCCCATGTCTAAGCATCATCAGCATAAAAATATGATGCAGATGTGCTGTTGTTACGTCGTTTTGCGCGTGTGAGCTTTTTGTTTCAAGGATTTGTGGATGCCCTGTTTTCTCTCTTTATTGTTCTTGGTTTGGCTGATGCTCGGTACTGCCATCTCAGCTCTTTTGTTTTCAGTTATGTTTTGTGTCGCGCTCCTGATGTTATACCATGCCGCTCAATCATCTCCCGAGGTTGTGTGCAACGCCGTCAGTATTTTCATCGGTGTTGCAGGTGAACCTCCGCGCGGCAGACCGAGCAGCGGGCGACTATCCGAGGCAGTTCGGCGTCGGTGATGTCGTCACGTACGGCAACGGGCACCTGGCTGTGGTGTACGGCTGCTCACCATACTACGAGGTCTCACAGGTATGAGCGGTTTAAATGAAGCTACAGGATCAGGCCAGTCCATGTCTGACCCCATTTGTACTGTTTTGTAAGAAGTTGATCTAGTTAAGTGGCAAAGCCTGAGAAGTCAACTCGACTTTTTGGTTGTTTTGTGACTTCTTCCACAGCAAGGCAGTCGCTGAATGCCTTGTAAATATTTATTTGTGTGACTAGTGGTTGCCTTATTTTACTAGCAGTGATCTTTTTTGAAAGAGGGGATATGGAATGTCTTCAGCATGTTGGGTTATAATGTATCTAATGCGGTCAATTATGGTTTTGCGATGTCCTGTCTGCCTTTCACATAATTCGCTTTCAATGCATGCCATTGCTGTATCATATATGTGTCTCTGTTTCATACAGACATGTTGCATTTGTGTCATTCTTTCATTCTGGGTTTTTCCCCTTCTTGATTGGTAGTAGAAATCGGTGCATCGGTGATGGGCATGTAGCGTACCAATTTGCCACGGATGTCACTTGAATTTCTTGAAACTCACTTGACGCGTGAAAGTTCCTTACCAGCATTTCTACGAAGCCTCACGGCTTCCCCTCGCTCTCATCTCCTACGACGGCCGCATGGTGTGAGTTATTGTGCTGACTCGGGGTTGGTGGTGTTTGCAGGACTGGATAGCACATAGCCGCGTCTGCTCCGGACTTGAGCGGGGAGAAAAGCAACCTTTCTACAACTTGCTGATGGAGGGTGACGGTTTCGGATGCATGGCTGAAGGTGAGCAGGCTCCCCCGAGTAAATGTTGTGCACCGATTTGGAGTACATTACACTGACATCCCACCAGTATGTCAGTTACGAGCAGAGCGCTGGCATATTTTGTTTGGGTGCATTGGACCAGCTTTATGCACTCCACAAAGCTGCTATGTTGAGTTGACTATTGATGATGTCTACATGGCAGCTTTCGGAATATCTGCTCTGGTTCGTATTCATTGCTATTTCATGAGTTCCAATATTTCTACATTACACAGCCAAACTGGACGTTGCACTACGTGGTGCAGCCCACGTCCCTAGCTGCTGTTGAAAAAATATTGTTGGGCTGTCTACAAATCACAGCAACTTGCAATATATCTTGCACCCATTCTTGTGTAGAGCGCGCCTTCTGTCTGCCACTAACAGAAGTGGATGTATCATTGCAGAGGAGCTGCAACTGGCCCCAGATCCCCAGCCTATCGATCATCAGGAAGTGGGACGATTCTTCACCCGGTTCGACGGGGAGCGGTACGAGCCGATCGCTCCGCTGGCCATTCTCTTCCCCGAGCCGCGGCGTGAGCATGGGTCCAAAACGAGCTTCGTGGAGTCTCCGATAGATGGCAGCGACAGCGACTGGGAAGACGACGTCGAGGATGAAGAGGAAGAATGGAGACGGGCACCTCCCACAGTGTGGATGGGCGTTTGGCCAGAGATCCTTGCCGAGGACTCAGATGATGAGGAGGACACTGATGATGTTGCCGTGGCCGGTGACGGTGGCCCGGTGGACCACTGATGGGTGCGTTGAATTGTGCGGAAAATCACAGGGGTTTTCTGAATACCTCAGCTGCCTCAGTAACACTGTATGGCCGTACATATGTGCATATTCGTGTGCAGGTGTTTTGTTTGCATCTAACCCATGGCATTTCACTGTGATTTGTCACGCTGTATTGACGCCTTTTATCCCAGGCAGTCGGTGCTTGCAGACATAACGTCATGATGCTGTTTCTCAGGTGCCTTCATTTGTATGTGATAGTTTTTGTGCCATCGGTTGTTTATTTCATGCCGGCTTGAGAAATATGTGCATGTGCCACCTGTACATTCGTTTGTATCATGAGTGATATGTGACGAATGATTTCGTACCTGGCATGCAGTGGTGGCTGTGCGAAAGCTCATCAGTGATATTTCGTCAATTGTTAAGGCATTGAAATGTGTCCATTGCTTTGTTCATATCTATGCTCAGGCATTGAAATGTGTTCATTGCTAGGTCATCATGGGCTATTGCTTACATACCTGTGATACGTTTTCAAGTTTTGTGCCTTCACTAACGCCGATAATTGTGTCCTGTTTATCTACATTTATCGGCGGTGGATAGGCAATTGGTGATTGCGGATGTAACGTGATCATCCTGTTTCTCAGGCCCCTACAGTTGTATGTGATAATTTTCTGTGCCATCAGTTTGGTATGTAATACGAGCTTTAGAAGTATGCGCATGTGCCATTTCTACATTCATCTGTATGATATGAGTGATATGTTACGAGTGATTTCGCCCTTGGCTGTGGGAAGGCTCATCAGTGATGTGTAGTCAATTGTTTAGGCGTTGAAATGTGTTCCTTGCTGTGCCTTAGGGCTTCGTGGGCTATTACTTGCATAGCTGTGATATGTTGTAAAGTCTTGTGCCTTCATTTTCGCCGATAACTGTGTCCTGTACATGCACATTTGTCCGTGGTAGGTACCACGTGCCGTTGGTAACGCAGTTTTACAAAGGAGCGACTTCGGGCTTTGCGTGCGTCATATGGCACGAAGCCCTGCAAGATGTGTAACCATGTGTATATGCGTGCGCAATATACTAATAAATCGATGTCATTTTTCCTGAGATGAATGCAAGGCGGATTTCAATACACTGAAGGCCCTTTTTTATAAGCAGTGAGACAGCACCGACATTGCTCATGACCTATGATGCGGTGCGTCAGCATGGATTGCTCTCCATTATGTTTGACATGAATTCCTGAAAGAATTACGTCGGGCTTCGGTAATTTTCAACAAGCAGAAGTCGTGCATGGCGAAATTACTGGCACGTGCGGGGCCTCACAACTCGCATTACGAGCGGTGGCGCAGGCCCGGTAAACTTCGTTGGCCAGAAATCACATGTCTTTAGCGCCTTTGCCGGTTAAGTGCTTATTTCATTTTGAACGTGCACATATCGTTGCGACCAGATGTCCGAGCGTGAGGAAAAATGCGAACAATTCAAAAGAAACAAATAGTAGGCACTCATGTATGTGACTACGGAAGGTTTGCGCCATGGCAAATGGCATCAGGCTACCTGTGACCATCCCCCCAGTCGGATCGCACGTTACGTGCTCCTTCCACCCGCTTGACCCCCTTATACGCTGAGGGAGTGACCGGCCAAAACCAGTGAGAGAGTCCGCGACCCACCACTGACTGGTGACTGACAAGTGACTTCCGTTAGGATGGACAAGGCCATCAAGAGAGCGGTGATGGACGCGGTAAAGCAGGGAAACCGCCTGAATTCTGTTAATGAGCAGGTGACGGCGACCGTGGCCGAAGCTGTGGTCGATAAGGATGAACAGTTCAAACAGCAGGGGCCTGGGGCTGGGGGAATAGAGGAAACCAAGGGTAAACTAAATGACCGAAACATTGCCCAAGACGTCTCCGCCTTCACACGCGCCCGGGTAGCCGGCTACATAACCTTCGCTCGGGTGGGTGGTCATTTTGAGCACCCCCTGAGATCTCGGGAACTTAGACAGCCAGAGATACCAGACTAACGAGGCGTGTTGACGTGTACGCTAAGTCATTCAGGTCAAAGTTTCAGGTTCCTAAGTCATGACCTTCGTGTTAAAAAGGTGAAGCAATATCAAGTTTCAGTGTCAGAGGGAGGGGGGGGGGGGGCGAATACATTGTGTCCCCTGCGCACTTAGTCACGCTGCCAAGCGCATCGTCACGAGAAAGAACCGCTTTTTGCGCTTTGACGACATTGCCCCAACGGACCCGATCTGTAGGTAGCGTCACCTGTAGGCGGCAGCACCACCGTAGTTAGCGCCACCACCGTAGGTGGCGTCATCTACAACTCCGCGCAATTCGTGCCGAGCTACGTTAGCGGGCCAAGGGCACGAGCCAATGCTGGATTTAGGGCACTAGCAAAACGGGAACATTTCATCAGTTTGCCCGTCACAAAAATCATGTGCTGAAGTGATAATCCAGAGTGAAATCATACGTATAAAACAAAATAGCAACACATGATTTACCAAGTGCAACCACAGAAATCGTGACTGATGGAATACTGACTCTTTAATTCGGAACAAACGTGATGCACAACGCTAGGAAAAACTGGGCTTAGCTTCCCCGCACTGGAGATCACTGGTTAAGAGAGCATTTGCTACCTACGGGACCACAAAGTTGTTTTGTTGATCAACGAAGTGATTAAATGCGTTTAGGTTTGCGTGTGTATTATCTGCACTGATGATCACGGTCCAAATTTATCTCATCCGAGACAAAATTAACAATTCATCGAAAAATCTTAGCTGTACTAGTTAAAAGGAAGGTGCCAGATTTCATGAGATTGAAGCAATAATCACATAGGATGCAATCAACATGCTTATAATCATCAGTGTGCTTTTAAGTGGCAGCGGCTGATACGGAGTGGCATAGACCGCTCTAGATAAGAAAACTGTTATATCTGGTAACTGTTCTTTTCAGTGCGTCATTCTTTCATTGCATCGTGGAACGTTTGTGTGACGTTGACGTGCTGTCAAATGAGCCATGCGAAATTACCACTCGTAGTATCTCGAGCTCGTTGAGAGATGGCAGCACTGGCGCATTTTTCACTTATCGACCACAGCTTCGGCCACGGTCGCCGTCATCTGCTCCTTGACAGAATTCAGGAGGTTTCCCTGCGTCACCGCGTTGATCACCGCTCTCTTGATGGCCTCGTCCATCCTAATGGAAGTCACTTGTCAGTCACCAGTCAGTGTTGAGCCGCGGACACTTTCACTTGGCTCGGCCGGTCACTCCCCCGGCGTATAAGGGGAGCGAGCGAGTGGACGGAGCAGGTAACGTGCGATCCGACTGGGGCGGTGGTCACAGGTAGCCTGATGCCACTTGCCATTGCCCAAACTTTTCTTAGTCATAAACATGAGCTTACATGAGCATGACGTGACATGACATGACAAACATGAGCATTTGTTTCTCTTCAATTTTTTGCATTTTTCCTCTCGCTCGACATCTGGTCGCAACGATATGTGCACGTTCAAAATGAAGTTAATTCTTAACTGCC